CGATGGTGGTGATGATGTTGGTTATTGTTTCGCGAATACATGTGACATAGGCAGTCTCAGTGCTAATGAACCCCCTGGGGTTTCTGGATTAGGGCTGCTCCCCAGCACCCTGTACATGATCTTGTCGTACGATGTGATTTAACGACGCAATGATAACGTGGGACATGTGTTTCTGTCAATGCCACCTTTTCAAACAATCATTTCTTAAACGAACAGAGGGGGCGGTTGGGTAGCCTAGTGGTTAAAGCGTTGGCTCGTAACGCCGAAGACCTTGGGTCGATTTCGCACATGGGTACAAAGTGTGAAGCCCATTTTCCGGTGTCCCCCGCCATAATATTGCTGGAATATTGCTAAAAGCGGCGTAAAACCATACTCACTCAATCACTTACAATGAATAGAGATCATCCTATTTCTGTACAAAAAGCCTAACTTACACAGGAAGTTGTACAGAATGGAGATGCTCGTTCGAAAATCCTTTTAAAACTGCAAACCACTTGACTCTCATATCATCAGCAGCTTATACCGAGCAATCAAATTGTTGCTCTGTGTATCGGATTCACTATGGACATCTTTTCAAACATCCCGCCCAACGCTCTGTCTTGCAATTCCACTGCAGCATTTTATTTAAGTTTAAAACAGCGACAGTGAAGCCCATGGTGACTACTCCTGCACTGCTGTTGCATGCTGACCTCCCATTCACCACCTTAACATCACTATGTCAGCATGTGAAATATCTGCTTGAAATTATGTATTATTACAGACCAAATTCAGGTTGGTAAAAGTTTTTATTTGACTGAATAATAAGATATGCATGTTGGGGTTTAATTTTACAAGCCAATTATATCCCCCGTTGTGGGGTAATATAGATGATTCAAGGTTTCGTACAAGTGGCTTCTTAAATGTTTAAAAAAGCCTCCTTAATAACATCCAATGAATGGATAGTTTATAGATAATTCGAATGTCCTTTCTAATACAGCGGCATGACGTGAGCTAAGTTCCAGTCAGATGAAATGGAGAAAGATTTATTAAAGATAATTGATAATGGTATTGCATTTTTTCACATTTGTAAACGTATTTCTTTGTTGTTGTTTTTTATCATGCGTTATACCAACAATACTAACGGCACGGGTGACCTTTTCTCGGTCCGATACATGTCAGATACATGTAGTCGAACTGTTATAGTTGTATGCGATAATTATGCATTCGAATGGAAGTAATCACGAATGCCATTAACGTCTTCACATTCAGCAAACTCTCAATTCCTGTGCATTTGCGAAATAAGATTGTTAATTTTAACAACCATTAACCATGTTTATGTATCCAAACCTTTCTTTCATGTTTATTGTTTTGAAAAATAATAAAAGTATTCAGTGTAGCGAACACTCTTTAGTGCTCAGAAACATCAGGTGCAACACTGTAACCTGGCAGTGTATAATTATCATCATTACCGATGAAGATAGGATATGTCAAGACGGACGTATTTGATGTAATTCGTGTACGTTCCGTGATCTTATAGTGTAAATGGTTACTGGTGATGAAATCATGTAAGTGGTGGACGGTGTTCCTCAAGTCCTCATTAGGGTCACCAACAAGAACGATATCACGAGAACCATCACGTGAGTTTTCTAGCATGTGTCCAAGGACAGGCCATTATACAGTGGGGTATTCGGTGGGCATTGGTGACAGATAAGTGTAAATATCGAAACGGAAGAGTGATTTGAAACCACATGGTTTTAGAGTTAATACTTTCTTGGTAAGGTCTGCTTTTAACACTAATTGTATCAACGAATTATACTGTCAGTGTGATTGTTGTTGTGTGATGAAAGTATACCAAAAATGAAACATATGTATAGTGGTACATGTGTCGTGCATGTCATAATAAACATAAAGTATATACATGTTTGTAAGATTATACGTTAATCAGGGTCACACCCAACATGACTGTGCACAAGGACATTTTGTACATTGTGTGTGATCTCCATATTGAGTAGTATTATTAGGTATATGGATATTTTGCATCAATTCAATCCAATCAATTACTTTGAGAGCGTGTGGCAATATCAGCTACAGTTTCAATGCAAACTCTGTCGCCTTGTTTTACCGTTGCAAATCCTGAGTTGATAATAAGTTCAAAGATTGTTGTTCAGTTTACCCACATTTAATACATTAAGGAAAACACTTTGACACCCCTCATATGCAGGAGCATCATAGTTGTGTGTTGGACCTAATGTTTGCAGTGTTTCAGCTACTGTTTTAAGCCTAGTAACGTTTTGATAACGTTTGCCTTTTTTTTGTCCTGCAGTTTACTAATATTTGGTGGGTCGTGTTATGACATATTCCTGCAGCAGGGATCTGGAACACAAATATAATTTTATTGCAAATTGTCACGTATGGCTGACAACGCAGAAGAGAGTAGTCTTGAAAAGCATGTTAATCATTCACCCCTGAAATATGCACAAAGACTGAAAATCAACGGAATACTTTCGAAAAATATCGTGGTAAGAGTGAGAGGGTGGGTGTGTAGGGCTAAAGGTTTTATAGTAGACATGTGGAGGACATTCCATATTTGACGTATCATTGACAAAAACGATGTCCGATGATATATCCTATTTTAACTTGTACCGAACGTGTCCGGGTTTTTTTCCATTTGAAGATATTGACTTTGCTTGTTTCCCCAAATTATGGGGTATGATGCCATCAGTAAAATATGTACACCGATAGATGTCATCACACAGTAGATCACTACAAGGCATCATTATGCATCACAACCGTACACCACAATAGGACATCACCATAGGAAATCACAGCACATCACAGCACATCACCACATGACATCACAGTGCATCACCACAGGACATCACGACAGGGCATCACAGTGCATCACCACATGACATCACGACAGGAAATCACAGCACATCACATCAGCACATCACAACACATCACCACATGACATCACAGTGCATCACCACAGGACATCACAGTGCATCACCACATGACATCACGACAGGAAATCACAGCACATCACATCAGTACATCATAGTACATCACCACATGACATCCCAGTGCATCACCACATGACATCACGACAGAATATCACAGTGCATCACCACATGACATCACAGTGCATCACCATATGAGGTCACAGTGCATCGCCACATGCCACCACAGTGCATCACAACATGACATCACAGTGCATCACCACAGGACATCACAGTGTATCACCACATGACATCACGACAGGATATCGAAGTGCATTACCACATGACATCACGACATGATATCACAGTGCATCACCACAGTGCATCACCACATGACATCACAGTGCATCACCACATGAGGTCACAGTGCATCACCATATGACATCACAGTGCATCACCACATGCCATCACAGTGTATCACCACATGCCATCACAGTGCATCACCATATGACATCACAGTGCATCACCACATGACATCACGACAGGATATCACAGTGCATCACCACATGATATCACGACAGGATATCACAGTGCATCACCACAGTGCATCACCACATGACATCACAGTGCATCACCACATGAGGTCACAGTGCATCACCATATGACATCACAGTGCATCACCACATGACATCACAGTATATCGCCAAATGCCACCACAGTGCGTCACCATATGACATCACAGTGCATCACTATATAACATCACAGTACATCACCATATGACATCGGTGAACTTTCTTTACTGTATGGTGTCATCCATCAGTGTACATACTTTACTATGTGGTGTCATCCATCAGTGTTCACACTTTACTGTGTGATATCATCCATCGGTGTACTTACCTTACTGTGTGGTGTTATCAATCAGTGTACACACTTTACTATGTGGTGTCATCCATCAGTGTACATACCTTACTGTGTGGTGTTATCCATCAGTTTACTTACTTTACTGTGTGGTGTTATCAATCAGTGTACACACTTTACTGTGTGATATCATCCATCGGTGTACTTACTTTACTGTGTGGTGTTATCCATCAGTTTACTTACTTTGCTGTGTGGTGTTATCAATCAGTGTACACACTTTACTGTGTGATATCATCCATCGGTGTACTTACTTTACTGTGTGGTGTCATCCATCAGTTTACTTACTTTACTGTGTGGTGTTATCAATCAGTGTACACACTTTACTGTGTGATATCATCCATCGGTGTACTTACTTTACTGTGTGGTGCCATCCATCAGTTTACTTACTTTACAGTGTGGTGTTATCAGTCAGTGTACACACTTTACTGTGTGATATCATCCATCGGTGTACTTACTTTACTGTGTGGTGTCATCCATCAGTGTACATACCTTACTGTGTGATATCATCCATCAGTGTACACACCTTACTGTGTGATATCATCCATCGGTGTACTTACTTTACTGTGTAATATCATCCATCAGTGTACACACCTTACTGTGTGGTGTTATCCATCGGTGTACACACTTTACTGTGTGGTATCATCCATCGGTGTACTTACTTTACTGTGTGATATTATCCATCGGTGTACTTACTTTACTGTTTGGTGTTATCCATCAGTGTACACACTTTACTGTGTGGTGTCATCCATCAATGTACTTACTTTACCGATGGTGCCATACTTTGAGAAGATTAAGAACAAAATGTTTCCTCGTTTGAAGGAGGCTTTTTGACAAATACTGATCCATCAATGCTACACGTGACAATCCAATTATCATCATCACATTTTTGACAAGGCGGCCATATCAGCATTTTCATGACCTAGGTCTGGTCTCGGTGGGATGTCCCAGCTCCTATTGTCTATACTACAGGCAGAGACCATATACCGGTATATGGTCTATACTACAGGTCACAATCGTACATCCGTCTCTTCTTTTGTTCTTTTGGCTGAGATTTCTTATGAATATAGAAAGGGTTTTGTCGCTTATATTTACCAATGCAGTATGACACAGTATGTATGTTTGTAGTGTAGTCTTTGTTCACGGCATTTTCTTTTGATATTTTAGGTACTCTCACCAGTACTTCACAACATAACTTCTTCTTAGAACCTGTCGGCTTCAAAATCATGGGCCTCTGGTCAGTATACTTTGAACTGAAGGGATGTAAAAACCTACAGTTGGGCTTGTGGGGGCCGACCAAGTCAACATCCAATGGCTACAACATCGAACTGAATACCGAGACGGGTGGACAGTATTTCTCAGCTGTCAGGAAAATATGCTCCGGTTGCCCCGGGACACCAGAGGTTGAGGTGAACCAGGGTGGTTCCTTCTTCACGTGCGACAGCACGACCTATCACCCCTACTGGGTCAGCTGGGACCAGGCCACTATCAAGATGGGCAAGGGGACAGTCATCGGTGAGGAGGTCGTGGTCAGTTGGACGGACCCTGATATTATTGAGATCAACTACTTCACTATCGGTGCATCAGACGGATCAACTCGTGCCTCAATCAATTTTGGTGAGTTCTGTAGACTATATAATCCCTAACGAATGTGATAAACATCTAACATATGTTTAGGCCAGTTTGACTGTTTCAAAGTCTCCCTATTATTGCAAGATTTCTATTTCAGTTCGATTTACAAAATTCGATATAACAATCTCTTCACTTAAGCCTATTCAAAGCACACAGGGGAACATATAAAAATAAAAAGCAACACAGCTGATTGGTGAAGTCAATGTGCGCGTGCAAATAAAATAGTTAAAAGACACATGGGTGAATACACCGTGAACAACCAAGCTTAACTTCATTTTCATTTACAACTGTTTCTGTATTTGCTTGTTGTTTTGTTCAATCCTATATATGTTTTCCGTGACCGCCTTCGTGGTCGAGTGGACTGAGGGATAGGGAAGGTCGGAAGTTCTATACCGGGTTGCGTCATAGCAAAAGAGGTTGTCCTGCCTGGCGCTCGGCATTAAGAGGAATAAATAGTCAGTGCTCAAAATAGCGTTTGCCCGTAGGCCCGTGGCAGGTAGATGTCGTGTCGGGCTCGTAGTTCCAATGTGTATCTGTCCTTATGGCCTGCAGTAAATGTACGCGTCAGTGCATTTCAATTAATAAGCTGCAGCTGTTTGGTTGTTTTTTTTAAAAATCAGGGTATGTCGTGTTTAGTCAGGTCCTGCAGCTTCTGAAGTCTGTGGGTCCTGTTAGAAGCCTGGAAATGCTCGGAGTCAGTATACTGTGGCTGAGGAGGGTATCCGTGTTGAACAGCAGCATGATATCTCGGTGGGCGAGCATTATAAAAACCGGCATCGGCTTGGAGTAGTACAAGCAATAAAATACACACACATGCGCACACATACCTGCACGCACGCACACACACGAACGGACGCATGCACGTACATACACACGCACGCGCGGACACACATACAGACACGCACGCGCGCGCGCACATACACAAACGCACGCAGGTGCGCACACACACGCACACGCACACGCACACACACGGCGCTATATGACTTCAATAATCTTGAACCCCATTTCGCCTCACCTGATGGACGTTTTTATGCTTCTACTTGGCACCATTGTCAAGATATAGGTACAGATACAGGTAAATTCCATAATACGAGCAGTATAACAAATGAAAGAATGAACGATGTAAATGTTTATTTCCGACATTTTTTTTCAATCAGAGTAGTACCATGTGTGTATATACCACCTATATGATAAACTATGATAAACTGGTTGCATCATACGTGAATCTTTGTATTTCAAGGTTACATTAACGTTTTAACAAGAAAACAGTTTTCTAGAATAATAAGATGAAGGGTCTAATTTTAGCCTTAACCCTTTGTTTCTATGGTTAAAAAGATGACTGTATCTGGAATAAGTTTGGAACTATAAGCTATATACATCTTCGTATCGTAGTTTACCACAATGCTATTTTACAGGAAGGCCGAAACCGATATTGTAGCAATAAATAACTTTGTAATTGGAAAACATGCAAAGGCAAATCAACTACTCGCATGAAAAAAACACGGGAACATATTATACAAGTCAAAATAGGAAAGCTTTACTGTGGTCTTAAATGTTGTAACCTTGGTCCAACAACTTCTGAGCAAGAGCTATTTGAAATGTTGGAAGAAAGAGCATGATCGATTGTACCTCAAAAGTTGTGAAATGCTGTAAACACCAAATCAGACTAGAGCTGCTGGAATTTTGCTCGACATGAAGGGAAAACGACCTATTGTTTGGTCTTTTGAGGCCACGACAATAGGTACATTCATGACAAAGTTGATATTATTCTCACATTACCCGTGGTCTTTGGTATATCTTTGGCTTTCTGACATGCGATGTACGTGTGCCTGAAGAAAGAGGTGTCAAGCAGCGTTACAAGCAGGCCTTTCCACTCACTCACCCAACGGCAATTCTATTTTTCAGACGAGACGTGTGTTGCTAAGACAAGACCAGCATTGTCCCAATCCTGCATTAGATTTGTGTTCCAAATGTCTGACGCAGGGAAGACGATTCACAGCCTAAGCGTCATCTTCGAGGCAACAGGGATGACCAAGTCTGATTGTAGCTACAAGTGTCTCTCCATCACTGCTTGCTTCGGGTTCAGCATCTCCACAACGGGCACCTGCAAGCTGACCGGCAAGTGTGTTCCAATACTTGCGGATGAAGCAGGCTCCAATGTCTACTTCCTCAAGTCCTTTGGTATTTCGTAAGAGTTTGTTCATTTGGAAAAATCAGTAGCCTTAACATCTTGTAATCAGTTTCCTAAATATGGCTAAATAGAATTCTCCGGATCCAAAGTGAAAATCGCTGCTTAATATATCCTTTACTAAATTAAGCGGGACAAAGTTATTTCAATAATCGTAAGAAATTGGTTGTGCTGTATCCGACAATAATCCTAAGCATGTGTTTATGAATCATAATGAATTAGTTATGACACCAGGTTTTCGCAGTAGCACCCGTCACAAACTCGTACAACGGCAAGTCAAGCGTTTACATTAACAAATACGGAAGTATATGCGACAAGTCAAAATAAGGAACTGCATTGGACATGAACTTTGGAGATGTTCTCCATACATCTACCATAATAAAAAAAGCGACAAAAGCTGTTCGATAATCATGAGAAATCTTTGCTGAAGGCAGCCTGCATGTCCACTTCCGACTATATCATGACCATGCGTTTACGATGATACCGGGTGTTCTCGAAAATTGAGTGTATCATGTCCCACTGATGGCACCCGTAACAAACACATGCAAAGGCAAGTCAAAAGTGTTCAACTGAATAAACATGGGAACAAGTAAAACAAGTCTGATATCATTTTGGTTTGAACTTGTGTCAAATTAAATCTGAAACAGAGTCTGAATCGTGCTATGCCCTCTGCTGTCAGCAGATATACTTTTTAATCATGGAAATGATTATCTCTGTAATGCATCGTTTCATACCTTTTGTTACTTCACTTTTTGGATTAATACTTTCAATAATTCTAGTAACTTGTTTTTTTAAACATAATACGACCCTACAAATGTGATGTTCTTTCTTATACTGCACTTACTTTCTTACTTATTGCATATTGTACTCCTTGCATTTGCATTGCTTTGTGCATGTGTGCGTGTGGCGTATAAATACACGTGTGAAACTGTAAAGGGCACTGATGAATGCTTTGAAAAATGGATCATAATCTCGGAACAGCAATGTGTGTTTTCATTATGTTTGACGTGAAGCAAGTGATCCTTGTTCCTTATGTTCTCACAGAACACGTACTACTCCAAATTCAGCGATATCCCCCGCAATGGTAAATACTGAATATATAAAACATGTTGTCATGGAAACGCAAAATATATTTATTTAGTATTCCAAACAATCAAATAAACCAGTTTACCACTAGACCTGTTTATGTACCATGTTGGTCAAGAAATATTGTTCGTTTTTCAATATCTGCTCCGGAAGCACAAGTCAGAGTTGTTGTCATGGGAAGTTGAAGAATATTTTTTTTTTAAATCCCAAACCATCAAATGGTACCAGTTCCCGAATAGACCTATCTATGTGCAAAGTTTGGCAAAAGATTATTGTACGCTTTTCACGACATCTTGCACAGAGGGATGAAAGGATGGACTGACAGGGTCCATTGCGGGGGATAATTATCCTAATCAAAGGTGGAGTAGTTATTATCCTTATCCTTAATATTGCTGTGTGTTTTGTAAATAACCAGGAAACCATTATTGTAGAGCTTTAGGAATAGAAGTACTAACGGAAAATAACAAATGGTGACGATGGATGTGCAGGCCCTGCGATAAACACAGTTTAACCCTGATCAAGACGGTCGGGGCGGATAACAGAAACCCATACAATAATGTCAGTAGGCTAGCTTTATTGCTACTGTCAATCAATCATGCAAACGCATGATTTTGAACAAATCAGATGTGTTTCAAGATACATTCGGTAACTGAAAGATTCAAAACATATATCTAAATCAGAAACATATGGAAATATATAACCTCTATAACACTTTACGTGAAAAACATCAAATGTATCTATATGCTCAACACGAAATATAACATTAAAGGCACAAAGAACGCAGTTGAATGAACATTTATGCAAATTATGTGATAGTTATGACATTGGAGATGAATTCAACTATATTTTCAAATGTACATATTTCAATGAACAAATGGAAATGTATATTCCAAAACACTACTAAAAAAGATCAATTATGTACTCCAGTAACTGAAATAAGTTACGATATCTGTATAACATTAAAAGTAAAATTGTAAAATCTCCCGGTTAACCTCTCTCCGCCACCATGTAAAATAATGTTTGTACCCCGATGACTGGGCCTGGGAGAAATAAAGTGCAGTTCTGTTATGTTCTGAAACAAAGTTACCAGTGATATTTTTCTTACCTAAAAAGCAACTTCATCAATTATTTAACCTGATCAAAATTTCTGACTAGAAAAACAAGTATTTTGAAAATTCATTTTTTAAACTTTTGGCACACAGACCTGTCTTTTTTGCAGAAATCAGTACACCATGTAAATATAAGGCCAAAGCATTTGCATAAAAGGCCAGTCACATCTACAGATCAAGAAATGCCTTTGTGATAATGTAATCTGATAAATGAACTGGAAAATACTGTTGTCCTGGCAAATGTTTACTCATCATTTCTAATCAAGGTTCCTGGAAAACTGAATCCCTCCCCAGATCGAGGACACCAGTGTTTTCTTGCTGGACATATCCCTTGTCTACTACTGACTTATGTATTGTACAAACACATAGACTGAAACCATTCAGGAAATTTATTAATGTTCTCACTGCACCGTGTTGTAATCTCATATCTGAAATGGAAGCAACAATGGAGAAAAAGGAGAAATAACAATGTTCAGTTATTTACTAAAATTAAGGCAAATATTTTCATAATCTGAACAGCTGTTCATTTGGATAATTCGAGTTTGAACTTTGGAAGTTTAATTAATGGGTTTCCATGGTGCAGGTCGATAAACCTGCGTCATAGATCTCAATGAGCCTTAATGAATAAAATATCATAGAGTTTCATTCACATAATATGTAATGAATATATTGCTGAACAATAAAGTTGGTTGCTTCACAGACGTTTGTCCTTTTTTACTTCGTGAAGTGCAACAATTGTCGGAGTTTTCATCATTTCCTTGACAGAAAAAACGATATATATCTCATTATATTTGGTTGTATTACTGTTAACCACACACAGAATATTCAAATATGTGTAAAAAACTTTATACCCTTTTGAGATGAAACATTGCATCAATGTAAAAAAACAAAGCTCTTCATTTCGTTTGATAGGCATCACTTAGAAATTGGCGGATGGCAGAGTAGACACAATTTATGGATAACAACTTCTTTAATACTGTAAAGGCGACGTTTCGGTACATATCCTTGCCTGACAATCTATACTGAAACATCACACCTTTGACTAAAGATGTCTTTTTTGGGCCTTAGCAAATGTTGAACAGTATAAAATACTGTGGCTAATACTATATATATATATATATATATATATATATATATAGAGAGAGAGAGAGAGAGATAGACTAGAGTACGTTACTGAGTGATGAACACAGCAAGTCTGCCGTTGCTGGTGTCAACATTAAAATAGCCAGCTTGTTAATTACTGACCAGCACTGATTAAAACTGTAAACAAATAACTGTAGTGATACATACAGGAAGTCAGAACAACATACTTTCTTTTTCTGTTCTCTAAATAATGTAAACTAAAATACCATAAGCCTTGTTTGACTGAAAATAATGCTTTCTTTATTTTCTACTTATCTTCTATATTTTGCATTTATTTTCTTCATTTATTTTTATACTTTAACAGTTGGTTCAGGAAGATAACTTCAAATGAACCCCGGCATGTTTGTACGTTTTCACGTTGCCTCTTAACGTTACTTGTAAGCAAGAAATTAAGTCCCTTTGGCCTAAAATGTAGTCTAAGGCTAAACTAACTGTGGTGATATGACATACACAGTATGACCTTAATGTACTACATACTATTCTGATTACTGTATACAACAAACCACACTGATGCTTCAGTTTCAGTGTCTGGGGGAGAGAAAGAAACTTCGAATGTTCTTTCCCTTTCAAACTTCTCTATAACTTGAAAGGGAAATGAAATTAACCACGATTTCACCTTTACTAAAAATATCACAGAAAATTAAAATCGAAATTTGGAATATGATAAAATCTTCATTTGAAAGAAAATAAACATCTTTTAATACCCTGCCAGTGATTAAGGGGTCCGTATGCAGCCATACTTAACATCAAATACCCTTAAGTGGTAAGAGACTCTACACAGCGAATCGCGGCTCAGACACAAATAAGAAATACATGATGTTTTAGTGTATAGCGTATAGTCTAGTGTACAGTATATATCATTCAGTATCTCAGCATTCCATGTTCTAGAACATTTGGGGGCACGGATGGCCCAGTCGTCTGAGGCGCCGCGATTCGCTGTGCAGAGTTGCGCCCCTTGGGCACGCCAGTAACCTATGATTGTGGGTTCGATTCCTGGTTCGCCCCGATTAGGTTTCTAGGTTTGTCAGCACCATACCCGTGCTCGTGGGTTTCACCGAAGTGGTAAACGTCTGAGACCTAAATCACTTCGGGCTTCCCCCCCACATTAAGCTGACACGCCGCGATATAACTGGAATACTGTTAAAAGCGGTGTTAAACCCAACTCACTCACTCACTAGAACAGGTGGTGGGTCTGACAGGAACGTGGTAAATCACATGAACAGGATGGTAATGGTGATAATGGATGTACATCCACAAGACTGCATTGTTAAAAAATTTCCTTGGGAATCTGTTTTGTCGGACATTTAAGACGGATTTTTCTCTGGATTTGACTTTTTTAAAAATTCTAATGAATAATATTTTGAGCCTTGCATGAATGCAATAACAATAATTAGCCTACATATCGATTCATAGAAATGGCTGCCGATCGATCACCCCCATATGAACTGTAAAACGTATCTATATTTCCTCAAATACTATCTCGGTCTCTAATACATGCCGAGTCAAGGGCTCGTTCGAAATTAATAGACGGCATAGCGTCAAATAGAGGAAATACGGTAGATTGATATTGGATGTTTTGAGTGCCGTGAGCCAGGTGAGCTAACTGCCAACACTTGTCGGGCACTTTTGCATGGACCCTCAGTTCCAACAGCAACAGACCCCATATTGCAAATGAACGAGCAACACATGGACTCACAAAATGAAATCTCTCGAAGATTTTGAGTTTTCTTCCGATTCCAACCCCTCTTCTATCAATGTGCTGTGCCCGTCATTTTGTATTCTTTTGGTGTTGTTGATTGGACGAAACAGGAAATGCTGACATCTTCACACGTAGATTCATGTCACATAATAGATCCTACCACCCTCGCTTTTTCCTCAATCCCTAATAATTACCAATTATGATAGGAGGGCGTTGTTTGATTAACATGAAGACTCTTCATGATAGAATGGTATTGAGCACTTCTGAACACATTTATTCGTCTGATGATCATCTTGTGAAGCATGGCAAGACTCATAATGAAAACAAGGCAGTCCACAGTTTTCTTAAAAGAGCCAAGTATCTAGGACATAATCTCAATGTCAGTGTTGATTTTGTTGATGGTTATGTCATACTGGACAGTACGGAAATGAGTGTCAACCAAGCAAAGACTCTGAACGACCACTGCATCAAGTTTATTTGCAGTGTGTTGATAAGATTAACAACCCTGCAGAGTCCTTCCGTTGGATGAAGTCGGCTGACCTGACAAGTGAAACAGGACGCTTTCTGTATGATGCTCAGGACCAGTCACTGCCCACTCGAAACTGTCAAAATGTAGATTCTGTAATGAATAATGAATGTAATGTGACTGTCCAACACATTATCAGTGGATGCCCAGCTTAAGCAAAAAAACACAGTATCTTAAGCAACATGATGGAGTGGCTCAATCATTTTATTTCCGCCTTCGCCATGCTAGTGGATTTGACACAGAGGTCCATCCATGGTACGACCCTTAATATATGTAAAGGGCGTCAAGGAAAATGATAAATAATTCTCTGGAATAGGCCCGTACACAACCTCAGATCTATCCAGGCTAACAAACTTGATATTGTACTTTTAGATGAATCCAATTAAATAATTAAAATCAGTTCTGTCCCCTTTGACACTTATGTAGCTGACAAGATTCAGGAAAAAACATGGCAACTATACGGACCTCGCTTTCCTTTCAAAATGTCACGCTTGCATCCCAAGTACCAAGTTCTCCGACTCCCCATTGTTCTCGGAGCCTTAGATTTGGTACTTCCCAATCTGTTGGAAGTGTACCCGTGTTAGCTGCCAGGAATACATCCCTTCGGACAATCTGGTTAATGCAGAAGGCTGCACTGTTGGGGAGTCTTCACATTCTCCGAAAAGTTCTGGGTGGGTTTGACTAGGCAGCGCTTCCTGGGAGAAGTCCCATTCACTGTCTAGGCTGTGTGGAGGGGGCCCTGAGCTGATGACGAACCTGACCAGCCTGACTGTGCCAGGATCTCCCAAACCCTCGTTACAGCATTTCATATTTTAATCTATGCATAATAATAATATAAACAAAGCGACATAACCCTTTCCATATCCAATAGAAATATCTGCATAAAGCATTTATGTGATACAAGGTAATATATGTGCCGAAACATAGTTTTTCGTTTACAAGACTCTCTATTCAGTGAAACATATACTGGAATCACACCATGTCAATGGATTCGTGTGTTTTGAATAGTGTCCATGCAGCATAAATCTTGTATGTGTGTGCACGTAGAGTAGCAGTAACATCGCTTCCAAGACAGCGGAAAGAGGATATAATGGTTCAGCATACACATTTAGAGAATGTGATGTGTGATATTGAATAACAGGCTGACGTCGCATAGCAGGAGTACTGCTGTGCCGCGTCAGCCAATGAATACGTGTATGAATGGCGGGTGGTACGGGTAAGGTAGGACATACTTACCCTTTTTACGAAAACCTGGTGTCATCACAGATTTTTCCAGGTCCATTAGGATAATTACCACAGCTATTTACGCCAAGTGGAATCTGTTTCGGCCGAAAATAAAGGCTTGGTATTGTTCTCCCTCTTCCCGAGGCAAGAGCGTCCACTGGCCTATTTATAAAAGGCTATGATATTGGCTTGTAGACACGCTTGCCTGGGGAAATCGGGAATATGGGTATTCTCTTGCATTGACAATTAATGTTCGAAACGTCATGTGAAAGTACTGTTGAATGTCATGTGAAAGTGCTGTTGTCAAGCAGAACGCAGACAGAACATAGTGGGGTAGAACTTAGACAGAACAATGTCAGGCAAAACATAGTCAGACAGAACGTTGTCAGTCAGAACATTGTCAGACAGAACGTTGTCAGGGAGAACATAGTCAGACAGAACGTTGTCAAGCAGAACATAGTCAGATAGAACGTTGTCAGGCAGAACATAGTAAGGGAGAACATTGTCAGGCAGAACATAGTCAGGGAGAACATTGTCAGACAGAACGTTGTCAGGGAGAACATTATCAGGCAGAACATAGTCAGTCAGAACGTTGCCAGGCAGAAATGGTCAGACAGAACGTTGTCGGGGAGAACATAGTCAGGGAGAACATTGTCAGGCAGAACATTGTCAGGCAGAACAAAGTCAGACAGAACGTTGTCAGGCAGAACATAGTCAGGGAGAACATTGTCAGGCAGAACATAGTCAGTCAGAACAAAGTCAGACAGAACGTTGTCAGGCAGAACAGTCAGACAGAACGTTGTCAGGCAGAACATAGTCAGACAGAACGTTGTCAAGCAGAACATAGAGAGAACTTCGTAAGACAGAACATAGTCAGGCAGAACATAGTCAGGGAGAACATAGTCAGGGAGAACATTGTCAGGGAGAACACAGTCAGTCAGAACAAAGTCAGACAGAACGTTGTCAGGCAGTACAGTCAGACAGAACGTTGTCAGGCAGAACATAGTCAGACAGAACGTTGTCAAGCAGAACATAGAGAGAACTTCGTAAGACAGAACATAGTCAGGCAGAACATAGTCAGTCAGAACATAGTCAGGGAGAACATTGTCAATCAGAACATAGAGAGAACTTCGTAAGACAGAACATAGTCAGGCAGAACATAGTCAGAACATAGACAGAACATAGTCAGAACATAGTCAGACAGAACGTTGTCAGGCAGAACAGTCAGACATAACGTTGTCAGGGAGAACATAGTTAGACAGAACGTTGTCAAGCAGAATATAGAGAGAACTTCGGAAGACAGAACATAGTCAGTCAGAACAAAGTCAGTCAGAACAAAGTCAGGCAGAAATAGTTAGACAGAACGTTGTCAGGCAGAAATAGTTAGACAGAACGTTGTCAGGCAGAAATAGTTAGACAGAACGTTGTCAAGCAGAATATAGAGAGAACTTCGGAAGACAGAACAAAGTCAGTCAGAACAAAGTCAGTCAGAACAAAGTCAGGCAGAAATAGTTAGACAGAACGTTGTCAGGCAGAAATAGTTAGACAGAACGTTGTCAGGCAGAAATAGTTAGACAGAACGTTGTCAAGCAGAATATAGAGAGAACTTCGGAAGACAGAACATAGTCAGTCAGAACAAAGTCAGGCAGAACATAGTCAGTCAGAACAAAGTCAGGCAGAACAAAGTCAGACAGAACATAGTCAGTCAGAACAAAGTCAGTCAGAACATAGTCAGTCAGAACAAAGTCAGTCAGAACAAAGTCAGTCAGAACATAGTCAGTCAGAACAAAGTCAGTCAGAACATAGTCAGTCAGAACAAAGTCAGTCAGAACATAGTCAGTCAGAACAAAGTCAGTCAGAACATAGTCAGTCAGAACATAGTCAGTCAGAACAAAGTCAGTCAGAACAAAGTCAGGCAGAACAAAGTCAGGCAGAACATAGTCAGTCAGAACAAAGTCAGTCAGAACATAGTCAGTCAGAACAAAGTCAGACAGAACATAGTCAGTCAGAACAAAGTCAGTCAGAACAAAGTCAGGCAGAACAAAGTCAGGCAGAACAAAGTCAGGCAGAACATAGTCAGGCAGAAATAGTTAGACAGAACGTTGTCAGGCAGAAATAGTTAGACAGAACGTTGTCAAGCAGAATATAGAGAGAACTTCGGAAGACAGAACATAGTCAGTCAGAACAAAGTCAGGCAGAACAAAGTCAGTCAGAACAAAGTCAGGCAGAACAAAGTCAGACAGAACATAGTCAGTCAGAAATAGTTAGACAGAACGTTGTCAGGCAGAAATAGTTAGACAGAACGTTGTCAGGCAGAAATAGTTAGACAGAACGTTGTCAGGCAGAAATAGTTAGACAGAACATAGTCAGGCAGAACATAGTCAGACAGAACGTTGTCAGGCAGAAATAGTTAGACAGAACGTTGTCAGGCAGAAATAGTTAGACAGAACATTGTCAGGCAGAAATAGTTAGACAGAACATAGTCAGGCAGAACATAGTCAGACAGAACGTTGTCAGGCAGAAATAGTTAGACAGAACGTTGTCAGGCAGAAATAGTTAGACAGAACGTTGTCAGGCAGAAATAGTTAGACAGAACGTTGTCAAGCAGAATATAGAGAGAACTTCGGAAGACAGAACATAGTCAGTCAGAACAAAGTCAGGCAGAACAAAGTCAGTCAGAACAAAGTCAAGCAGAACATAGTCAGTCAGAACATAGTCAGTCAGAACAAAGTCAAGCAGAACATAGTCAGTCAGAACATAGTCAGTCAGAACAAAGTCAGTCAGAACATAGTCAGTCAGAACATAGTCAGTCAGAACATAGTCAGTCAGAACAAAGTCAGTCAGAACAAAGTCAGGCAGAACAAAGTCAGGCAGAACATAGTCAGTCAGAACATAGTCAGTCAGAACATAGTCAGTCAGAACAAAGTCAAGCAGAACATAGTCAGTCAGAACATAGTCAGTCAGAACAAAGTCAAGCAGAACATAGTCAGTCAGAACATAGTCAGTCAGAACATAGTCAGTCAGAACAAAGTCAGTCAGAACAAAGTCAGGCAGAACAAAGTCAGTCAGAACATAGTCAGTCAGAACATAGTCAGTCAGAACAAAGTCAAGCAGAACATAGTCAGGCAGAACATAGTCAGTCAGAACAAAGTCAGTCAGAACAAAGTCAGGCAGAACAAAGTCAAGCAGAACATAGTCAGTCAGAACATAGTCAGTCAGAACAAAGTCAAGCAGAACATAGTCAGTCAGAACAAAGTCAGTCAGAACAAAGTCAAGCAGAACATAGTCAGGCAGAACATAGTCAGTCAGAACAAAGTCAGTCAGAACATAGTCAGTCAGAACAAAGTCAGTCAGAACAAAGTCAAGCAGAACATAGTCAGGCAGAACATAGTCAGTCAGAACAAAGTCAGTCAGAACAAAGTCAGGCAGAACAAAGTCAGTCAGAACATAGTCAGTCAGAACATAGTCAGTCAGAACAAAGTCAAGCAGAACATAGTCAGTCAGAACATAGTCAGTCAGAACAAAGTCAAGCAGAACATAGTCAGTCAGAACAAAGTCAGTCAGAACAAAGTCAAGCAGAACAAAGTCAGGCAGAACATAGTCAGTCAGAACAAAGTCAGTCAGAACAAAGTCAGTCAGAACATAGTCAGTCAGAACAAAGTCAGGCAGAACATAGTCAGTCAGAACAAAGTCAGTCAGAACATAGTCAGGCAGAACATAGTCAGTCAGAACAAAGTCAAGCAGAACATAGTCAGGCAGAACATAGTCAGTCAGAACAAAGTCAAGCAGAACATAGTCAGTCAGAACATAGTCAGTCAGAACATAGTCAGTCAGAACAAAGTCAGTCAGAACAAAGTCAGGCAGAACAAAGTCAGTCAGAACATAGTCAGTCAGAACATAGTCAGTCAGAACAAAGTCAGTCAGAACATAGTCAGTCAGAACAAAGTCAGTCAGAACAAAGTCAGTCAGAACAAAGTCAGGCAGAACAAAGTCAGTCAGAACATAGTCAGGCAGAACATAGTCAGGCAGAACATAGTCAGTCAGAACAAAGTCAGTCAGAACAAAGTCAGGCAGAACAAAGTCAGTCAGAACATAGTCAGTCAGAACATAGTCAGTCAGAACAAAGTCAAGCAGAACATAGTCAGTCAGAACATAGTCAGTCAGAACAAAGTCAAGCAGAACATAGTCAGTCAGAACAAAGTCAGTCAGAACAAAGTCAGGCAGAACAAAGTCAGTCAGAACATAGTCAGTCAGAACATAGTCAGTCAGAACAAAGTCAAGCAGAACATAGTCAGTCAGAACATAGTCAGTCAGAACAAAGTCAAGCAGAACATAGTCAGTCAGAACAAAGTCAGTCAGAACAAAGTCAGGCAGAACAAAGTCAGTCAGAACATAGTCAGTCAGAACATAGTCAGTCAGAACAAAGTCAAGCAGAACATAGTCAGTCAGAACATAGTCAGTCAGAACAAAGTCAAGCAGAACATAGTCAGTCAGAACAAAGTCAGGCAGAACAAAGTCAGGCAGAACAAAGTCAGGCAGAACAAAGTCAGGCAGAACAAAGTCAGTCAGAACATAGTCAGTCAGAACATAGTCAGTCAGAACAAAGTCAAGCAGAACATAGTCAGTCAGAACATAGTCAGTCAGAACAAAGTCAAGCAGAACAAAGTCAGGCAGAACAAAGTCAGGCAGAACAAAGTCAGGCAGAACAAAGTCAGGCAGAACAAAGTCAGGCAGAACAAAGTCAGGCAGAACAAAGTCAGGCAGAACATAGTCAGTCAGAACAAAGTCAGGCAGAACAAAGTCAGTCAGAACAAAGTCAGTCAGAACATAGTCAGTCAGAACATAGTCAGTCAGAACATAGTCAGTCAGAACAAAGTCAAGCAGAACATAGTCAGTCAGAACAAAGTCAGGCAGAACAAAGTCAAGCAGAACATAGTCAGTCAGAACAAAGTCAGGCAGAACATAGTCAGTCAGAACAAAGTCAGGCAGAACAAAGTCAGGCAGAACAAAGTCAGGCAGAACATAGTCAGTCAGAACATAGTCAGTCAGAACAAAGTCAGGCAGAACATAGTCAGTCAGAACAAAGTCAAGCAGAACATAGTCAGTCAGAACAAAGTCAGGCAGAACATAGTCAGTCAGAACATAGTCAGGCAGAACAAAGTCAGGCAGAACAAAGTCAGGCAGAACATAGTCAGTCAGAACATAGTCAGTCAGAACAAAGTCAGGCAGAACAAAGTCAGGCAGAACAAAGTCAGGCAGAACAAAGTCAGGCAGAACATAGTCAGTCAGAACAAAGTCAGGCAGAACAAAGTCAGTCAGAACAAAGTCAGGCAGAACAAAGTCAGGCAGAAATAGTCAGACAGAACGTTGTCAGGCAGAAATAGTTAGACAGAACGTTGTCAGGCAGAAATAGTTAGACAGAACGTTGTCAGGCAGAAATAGTTAGACAGAACGTTGTCAGGCAGAAATAGTTAGACAGAACGTTGTCAGGCAGAAATAGTTAGACAGAACATAGTCAGGCAGAACATAGTCAGACAGAACGTTGTCAGGCAGAAATAGTTAGACAGAACGTTGTCAGGCAGAAATAGTTAGACAGAACGTTGTCAGGCAGAAATAGTTAGACAGAACATAGTCAGTCAGAACAAAGTCAGGCAGAACAAAGTCAGGCAGAACAAAGTCAGGCAGAAATAGTTAGACAGAACGTTGTCAGGCAGAAATAGTTAGACAGAACGTTGTCAGGCAGAAATAGTTAGACAGAACGTTGTCAGGCAGAAATAGTAAGACAGAACGTTGTCAGGCAGAAATAGTTAGACAGAACGTTGTCAGGCAGAAATAGTTAGACAGAACGTTGTCAGGCAGAAATAGTTAGACAGAACGTTGTCAGGCAGAAATAGTTAGACAGAACATAGTCAGGCAGAACATAGTCAGACAGAACGTTGTCAGGCAGAAATAGTTAGACAGAACGTTGTCAGGCAGAAATAGTTAGACAGAACATTGTCAGGCAGAAATAGTTAGACAGAACATAGTCAGGCAGAACATAGTCAGACAGAACGTTGTCAGGCAGAAATAGTAAGACAGAACGTTGTCAGGCAGAAATAGTTAGACAGAACGTTGTCAGGCAGAAATAGTTAGACAGAACGTTGTCAGGCAGAAATAGTTAGACAGAACGTTGTCAGGCAGAAATAGTTAGACAGAACGTTGTCAGGCAGAAATAGTTAGACAGAACATAGTCAGGCAGAACATAGTCAGACAGAACATTGTCAGGCAGAAATAGTTAGACAGAACGTTGTCAGGCAGAAATAGTTAGACAGAACGTTGTCAGGCAGAAATAGTTAGACAGAACGTTGTCAGGCAGAAATAGTTAGACAGAACATAGTCAGGCAGAACATAGTCAGGCAGAACATTGTCAGTCAGAACATAGTCAGGGAGAACATTTTCAGGCAGAAATAGTCAGACAGAACGTTGTCAGGCAGAAATAGTTAGACAGAACGTTGTCAGGCAGAAATAGTTAGACAGAACATAGTCAGGCAGAACATAGTCAGACAGAACATTGTCAGGCAGAAATAGTTAGACAGAACGTTGTCAGGCAGAAATAGTTAGACAGAACGTTGTCAGGCAGAAATAGTTAGACAGAACGTTGTCAGGCAGAAATAGTTAGACAGAACATAGTCAGGCAGAACATAGTCAGGCAGAACATAGTCAGTCAGAACATAGTCAGGGAGAACATTGTCAGGCAGAAATAGTCAGACAGAACGTTGTCAGGCAGAAGTAGTTAGACAGAACGTTGTCAGGCAGAAATAGTTAGACAGAACATAGTCAGGCAGAACATAGTCAGGCAGAACATAGACAGTCAGAACATAGTCAGGGAGAACACTGTCAGGCAGAAATAGACAGACAGAACGTTGTCAGGCAGAAATAGTTAGACAGAACGTTTCAGGCAGAACATAGTCAGACAGAACGTTGTCAGGCAGAACATAGTCAGGGGGAACATTGTCAGGCAGAACATAGTCAGGGAGAACATTGTCAGACAGAACGTTGTCAGGGAGAACATTATCAGGCAGAACATAGTCAGTCAGAACGTTGTCAGGCAGAACATAGTCAGACAGAACGTTGTCAGGCAGAAATAGACAGACAGAACGTTGTCGGGTAGAACAGTCAGACAGAACATTTCAGGCAGAACATAGTCAGAACAAAGTCAGACAGAACATAGTCAGGGAGAACATTGTCAGGCAGAACATAGTCAGAGGAAAGTCAGACAGAACGTTGTCAGGCAGAACAGTCAGACAGAACGTTGTCAGGCAGAACATAGTCAGACAGAACGTTGTCAAGCAGAACATAGAGAGAACTTCGTCAGACAGAACATAGTCAGGCAGAACATAGTTAGTCAGAACATAGTCAGTCAGAAGAAAGTCAGACAGAACGTTGTCAGGCAGAACATAGTCAGTCAGAACGTAGTCAGAACGTTGTCAGACAGAACGTTGTCAGTCAGAACATAGTCAGACAGAACGTTGTCAGTCAGAACATAGTCAGACAGAACGTTGTCAGTCAGAACATAGTCAGACAGAACGTTGTCGGTCAGAACATAGTCAGACAGAACGTTGTCAGTCAGAACGGTCAGTCAGAACATAGTCAGACAGAACGTTGTCAGTCAGAACTGTCAGTCAGACAGAAATAGTTAGACAGAACGTTGTCAGGCAGAAATAGTTAGACAGAACGTTGTCAGGCAGAAATAGTTAGACAGAACATAGTCAGGCAGAACATAGTCAGACAGAACATTGTCAGGCAGAAATAGTTAGACAGAACGTTGTCAGGCAGAAATAGTTAGACAGAACGTTGTCAGGCAGAAATAGTTAGACAGAACGTTGTCAGGCAGAAATAGTTAGACAGAACATAGTCAGGCAGAACATAGTCAGGCAGAACATTGTCAGTCAGAACATAGTCAGGGAGAACATTTTCAGGCAGAAATAGTCAGACAGAACGTTGTCAGGCAGAAATAGTTAGACAGAACGTTGTCAGGCAGAAATAGTTAGACAGAACATAGTCAGGCAGAACATAGTCAGACAGAACATTGTCAGGCAGAAATAGTTAGACAGAACGTTGTCAGGCAGAAATAGTTAGACAGAACGTTGTCAGGCAGAAATAGTTAGACAGAACGTTGTCAGGCAGAAATAGTTAGACAGAACATAGTCAGGCAGAACATAGTCAGGCAGAACATAGTCAGTCAGAACATAGTCAGGGAGAACATTGTCAGGCAGAAATAGTCAGACAGAACGTTGTCAGGCAGAAGTAGTTAGACAGAACGTTGTCAGGCAGAAATAGTTAGACAGAACATAGTCAGGCAGAACATAGTCAGGCAGAACATAGACAGTCAGAACATAGTCAGGGAGAACACTGTCAGGCAGAAATAGACAGACAGAACGTTGTCAGGCAGAAATAGTTAGACAGAACGTTTCAGGCAGAACATAGTCAGACAGAACGTTGTCAGGCAGAACATAGTCAGGGGGAACATTGTCAGGCAGAACATAGTCAGGGAGAACATTGTCAGACAGAACGTTGTCAGGGAGAACATTATCAGGCAGAACATAGTCAGTCAGAACGTTGTCAGGCAGAACATAGTCAGACAGAACGTTGTCAGGCAGAAATAGACAGACAGAACGTTGTCGGGTAGAACAGTCAGACAGAACATTTCAGGCAGAACATAGTCAGAACAAAGTCAGACAGAACATAGTCAGGGAGAACATTGTCAGGCAGAACATAGTCAGAGGAAAGTCAGACAGAACGTTGTCAGGCAGAACAGTCAGACAGAACGTTGTCAGGCAGAACATAGTCAGACAGAACGTTGTCAAGCAGAACATAGAGAGAACTTCGTCAGACAGAACATAGTCAGGCAGAACATAGTTAGTCAGAACATAGTCAGTCAGAAGAAAGTCAGACAGAACGTTGTCAGGCAGAACATAGTCAGTCAGAACGTAGTCAGAACGTTGTCAGACAGAACGTTGTCAGTCAGAACATAGTCAGACAGAACGTTGTCAGTCAGAACATAGTCAGACAGAACGTTGTCAGTCAGAACATAGTCAGACAGAACGTTGTCGGTCAGAACATAGTCAGACAGAACGTTGTCAGTCAGAACGGTCAGTCAGAACATAGTCAGACAGAACGTTGTCAGTCAGAACTGTCAGTCAGAACATAGTCAGACAGATCGTTGTCAAGCAGAACATAGAGAGAACTTCGTCAGGCAGAACTAAGGCAGGACGTAGTCAGACAGAACAGTCAGACAACATTTAGTCAGACATAAGTCGCACAAACACTCAGAACGCTCCTGACTGAAAAACGGATAATATTCGTAAAATGAATATCCTTTGGTTTTATCTCGTGAATACAGACGTGACAACGGACGCACGGTATTTTGACTGAGTACCTGTATTTGGCAATATCTGTCTGTCAGGTGCAATTCTATGGTCGTTGTGGTTTAGGTCATGAAGTACAAAGCTTTAGTTGCCATTTGTAGAGTAAACTGCCGAACAAAAGAGTGTATACACACGTTTGATGTTGACTAAAGATTTACATACATGAAATTGTTATTAGATGGTCATGTATTTGATATGGGTACCATATGCGATATGACATGTATCATATCAAGGCAGTCTAGTAACGTTTTGAGGACGTTTGTAATTTTGGGGTCTAAGGTAATTTCCAAGTGCATACTTTTTTTCCCTGCAGTTTAGTTAACCATATACTTCATGAAGCTTTTGTCAAAACGTTTGTTAAGTATCTTTTGTGTGATGAAGAAAATCTTTGAGCTGCAACCCATAAATCGTGGAATGTTTTAATGCATTGTTTGTTACAAAGACTCGAACCCTTCAGGGAAATTAATGATGATTGATTGACTAGGTTCAGTAAGAGTTTACTTTTATTGATGATGCAGTTTCACAGGAGCAAATGTATTCACAGCTGGTTATGTGTCAAAGACAAATTCATTAAAGTGAATGCAAAACGATGATGGTGATGATTCACATGCCACGGGACGCGGGCCGTTTCAGTGCTAGAGAACCCCTGGGGTCAACGGAATAGGGTTGCTCCCCAGCAACCTGTGCGTGTACGATGAGACTAAACGACGAAAAGACAACGTTGGGCATGTGTTTCTGTCATTGCCACCTTTTTTTCATAACAACGGCAAGTCGCATACATGTAGAATGTTCAAAGACACCTTGACTGTTGAAACATGTTTCTGCTATTATGAGAAGATCTCAACGCAGTGTATGAGTGAGCTGCGCTACGGCACTCTGTCATTGGAAATAGAATTAGGTAGTCTTAGCCGCCCACTCCACTTCAGGACAGAGTTTGTAGACTCTGTA